ATTTTTTTTTCTTGACCTATAGAGAAAGGGGAATGTACCAGATGCATCTGATATTCGGGCACTGAACTTTATCATTATTTTCTACATTTACCTGGAGGGTTCTTAACTGTGAGGGGTCAGCTCTTCACTGTGCTGTGAAGAGACTGTGGACCCTTACCCTCAGCAATTGTCAATGAGATCATGCGCTTAATCACAGCATAGTAAGCTAGAACTCTAGCTCATGCAGAAGGGATTTGTGAAGGGTCACCCACATTTGGGTTTCCAGTGTAATTCTGGGCATTTGAAAATTTTCTTTAAGTATGTTTTATAAAAGGAAAATTTTACAATGAAAAATATAAAAACAAAATTGTTAACTGAGGGCACTTTAAAAACACGCTCCCAAGGCCCCCCATAGGTTGATGGTAACTGGGCTCAATGGAGGCAGGAAAATGTCTATGGAAGACATTTGAGGAGGGTAAGTATCATCTAAAAACTGGTTTTATATAGGCACACTGGGGTGAATTTCCAGGACTCAGACCATTGAAGCAGTGGTCATAGAGGGCTTTGGGCCTGGAGGATTTTCTTAACACTGCTTCCTGAGTAAACTAGTATGAATGCTTTTACTCCCATAGATATATGGAAGGGAAAGTTTGAGGTTGTTCCATAAGACAGAACATATACAATTCCCCTGAGAACTCCGGGAGGGAGTGCGGGGCAAGCTTGCTGCAGAAATGTCAGTCCACAGAATCTCTGCTGAGGGGAATTTGTGTGTCTTATTCACATGTGCAAAGCAAGCCACACTTAAGACCTCCAAACTAGGCTCCCATTGGGGAGATCTTCCTAGAAAGAATTTATTCTAGTGTTGGCCTTGTCCCCTTTTTTATTGGGATAAGTGAGACTAATATATGCTGGAGGAGAAAGCTTAATCATGTTTTTATCTTTTGAAAATCCTATTGTAATTGCAAAGACAATTTTCTTTTCACCTGTCTCCTGTCAAGCATTTCAACTTGTGAACTAAATGTACAAATGAATCAGTGCATGCAGCTAAGAGAGAAGAAGCCACTGTACTGAAGCAACAAGGTGAAGTGTTGAGGGTCCTAAGCTGGTGGCCTGCTTTTTCATTTCTGGGATCTTCACTTGAAGAGTTTGCTTTTGAAAAATAAGCAGGGGAAATGCTGTTTTGTTTGAGGTTTGGATTTGGAAGGCAAGAGAGGCTATGCGCCTGTTCATAGCACCTTGTGGAACTGAAGTGTGGTTCTGATAAACTCTTCTCAGATGCTGGGACTGCATGAGTGGGAAGGGATGGGAGATGGGATGGGACAGAAGGAGAAGCTAAGGATTGACAGGAAATTTCAACTCAAAATTATACTTATGCTCATTTCAAGTGCCTTATACTTAACTTCTGAAAGAGTGAGTTTTATCATGTAGAAACTTTAGAATCTAATTTTATCAGATCAATTATAAACTCTCTAGCTGCAGACATTGTACCTTCGTTATGGTGACTAAAATGTCTTAGATCTAAAGGGAAGGGCTAAATATAAATGAGAACTTGCCGATAGGATGCTTCATGGAAATTCTGCCATCTTTCTTTCAAAACAAAAGACTTCTGATTTCTCAGTAGTATGAAAACTTTGCTTCTGATTTACTAGCTTTCTCAAGTAGACCTTGGTTTCTTCCACATAACGATCTTTTGGAATTCACCTTCGTCATTCTTGCTATGTCTGCAGTAAAACATTACCATTTGGGGAATCTCCGACCCTGTGGAATGATGGGTGCCACCCACTGGTCCTGGCTCTGACCCTGTCTGGTCTATAGGACTCCTCAGTTCCTTGCTAATTCATAACTCTACTTTGGCTCTGAAGGCCTCTCCAAGAGTACACCAGTTACATTTGAAATTATGCTGCAAATCTGAGGCCTACACTAGAACCACGCTGGGCCCAGGTGAGCAGGCCTCCCAGGTGCGCTGTGTTTCCGGCATACCTTGAACTCATAGGACTCCTCAATGATCACTTCCAGCTTGGTGTGCTCTCCAAGAATGGGGCGCCCCAGTTCTGCAATGCGTCTCTCCTCTTCCTCTTTGCTGGTTAGCGGCTGTTTGTCATCATATTCCTCTGGGGGAGGGAAGGCAAGACAATAAACAATGTACTCTTCTTCCTTTGACAATCCTTTGATCTTGCTATGAGAAAATGAAGGGGGAGGAAGCCCTAACAGCCTACTAATAGTCTCCAGGCAAGAGCCTGAGGCTGAAGGGGAGAACTGTGCAAGCTGGGAGAGCTAAGCAAACTGGGAAACACAACATCATGGTAGCAGATGATTATAATGTAATGCTGTATAATCTAACTGATGCAAAAAGACTGGTGAGGAGAATTAACACATAGGGATGTGCCACCGGGAGAGACCCAGCCCACGGGTTCGTGCTGCCACCTCTCTGTACATGTCCCCCGTGGTCCTCAGCTGTTTCTGTGTACCTGTTCCTCCACACCTGCACTAAAGTGAGATGCAACTAAGTCTTAGAGAAACCCTGAAGGGTGGAAAAGTTTGATGCAAAAATGACCTTCTTCTTTTCCATTTTCTAGAGACAACAGAAGTTGTCTCAGGTCCAAAGAGAGCATGGAAAGGAAGTTCTCATTTATCCTTTCACCTGCCACAGTCCTTGTTACAAATTAAGAAGTTGAACACCCATCCCAGGCTTTCAGGAGCCGCCTGGGCTGCAGAGCCTGCTCTCTGGTGCAGAGCCAGAATGTGTTAGGAAAGCCCTGACCACGTTAATCATAAACAGGGAAGGCGAGGATGAGGCTTCATGGAGTTCCTACCCACTCACCACGTGGACATGATTATTTCCAGAGCCATCCTGCCATTTAGTAGGTGCTGAGAAATTTTTTTAAATGTAATTTTATTGCGAAGAGTAAAAACAAAAGCAAAAATGAATAGCAGAAACAGAGAAACAGGGTAACACAACAATACATATGTTACAGATTTTTAAAACAAGAATCGCTAATTAACCATGGTTGTTCTATTGTTTATTTTTATCATCAAATCTGTTGCACAGATTAACACATACAGTTATGCAAGATTGCACAAATAATTGAATACTATCGCTTGCTTTCTAGAAATCTTAATGTTTTTCTTGTCTTTTTTTTAAAAGTTAGTTTAACCAGAGTATAATAATAATTGATAAGACATTAGAAACTGTAAGCACTTAGAAGACCAAGATGAGAGATATTAAAGCATGGTTTCTGTATTATGTATTGCTGTTCTTGATGTTGTTGCTTAGATCGCTGATATCAGCATACACAGCTAGTCAAGGTGAAAATTCTACCCATTAACTGCTATTTTCAAAGAGTCCGTTAATGAGGGAAATCTCACAGTTGGCTCTCTCTGTGCCAAGATCGTTAGGATACATCCCAGACTGAAAAGGACAAGAAGACGTGGAGGAGAAATGACAGCTCTGAAGTCACCTCTATCCTTCAGGGCCAGGATTCTAGAATAAGACAAGCTACTTCCTATCAGTGACTGGTGGAATCTATCTCACCTCTCACGAGTGTTGATATGGAAAATGAACAAATGAACGAGCACTCAACCCTGACACCTCCTGCACAACGCGTGTGCTGACTGCGGAGCGATCTAGCCGGGCGGGACTCTGTTCTCAGGCTTCCTGACTTGTGCATTTGAGACATCAGCTTCTTCAAGGGACCACACCTGCCGCCTCTCCAGTTCCCTCTGAAGACCCGCTGCTTCCCGTGCACCAAAGGACCCTGCTGTCGGGCAGCTTGGCTGCTCTAGCAAAGGCTGCGGCAAAGAGTCCCTGGGCCATGTGCTCTGTGGGAGAGCAGGGAGCAGGTGGGCAAGAGTGCTGTGAGCACCTGTATTTTAGCACCAGACCTTAACGCAAAGGCAAAGCAGAAGGTAGCATTTGGATTCCTTGTTTAGTTTATATGTACTAATTTCTTTTGAAAAGGCCACTTTAAAACTGGCTTTCCTATTTCCAATGATTGCAGAAGATCAAAGAAATTAGATGCAGTTCAAAAATAAGTGATTTCATACTGGCAGGAGCTGCTGAGTATTGCCAGAAACCAAAGAGAGTGGTAAAGAGGTGAATTTCAACCATGAAAATGATAATTTTTTAAATAGAACTGAGAAGGCGGGACTCAGAGAAAGGCAAAATGTTGCAGGTAGCGCTCTAGCCTTTGTGAAATTATGTGTGTCGGTCAAGGCCAAAATAGTGAAGCCCGATTTATCGAAATCTCAATAGGATTATCTTTTGCTTTCCTCTACTTTCTGATCATTCACCCCATGGTAATGTTATTTGTAGTGTTTACAATAGCAGATAATATTACTTTGTTTAAATTATTGACAAACATGGATATTTTGAAGATTTATGTTGAATAAGCCTTATTTTCCCAGAAGAAGGAACAGTATAACTTGGATATCTATTTGAATCTTGCAGTAATTTAGGGAGACTGCTTGCTATGGTCACTTTTCTGTAGTTTACTTATAAATGACAAGCTGCTTTTAATGGGATTCAAGGTAATTTAAGTAGAATAACAGAGACGTGTTAAAAGGAAAGTGATGTGGTAGGACTTTCTGTGCAGCAATAGGCAATAGTTTTGGAACAGAGTATTCAATAACACGGTATTCAATTTTTTTTTTTTTTTTTTTTTGTACTGCGGATTGAACTCAGGACCTTGTGCTCGCCAGGCAGGTGCTTCTGTCACTGAGCTATCCTCTAGCCCATCAATTTCTAATAAATAAATAAAAAATCATTCATAAAAAGGTACTTCATATTTTAGTAATGCTCCAGTCTTTTTCATCAAGAATAGAACTTCGTTTGATGACCTAAAATTTATAGCCTGTCTCTAACATTTCCTTTGCTTATATTTATTTTATTTTTAAAATTTAATTAAGTTTATTGGCACAACTTAGGTATATACAATGATGACTTTCATCATAGGGAATTTGTACCCATATGTTCAATACCTTGATTTGTCTTTTTTCTCTCATCCTTTTTCCTTCCTTTTAACTCCCTTCCCCTCCTTATTTGAAAAGCTTTATTTCCATTTTATTCTTCTTTTGCCATTTTTTCTTTTCCCTTGCTTCACCTCTCCCTAGTTCCCTATCCTCTTAAACAAATTTCTTACTATTTCCCCGTGTCTCTTGTGCAATTTGGTTCTTAGGTACACTTTTAGTTTCTCACACCAGTGATACAGTGTGATATTTACATGTGTCCAATTCATTTCATTTAAGAGTGTGGTCTCAGGGTCCATTCATTTACCAATAAATGTTTCAAGTTTATCCTTCTTTCTGGCAGAATAGAACTCCATTTTATAAAAATACCACATCTCTTTTATCCATTCATTGGTTAATGAGCATCTGGTTGTTCCCAATATTTAATTGTTACAAACTATACAACCATAGACATGAGTATGCTTATGTCATAGTGGTATGATGTTTTGAATTCTTTTGGGAATATGCCAAGAAAGGGAATAGTAAGGTCAAAGGGTCCCTCTAGTCTTAGTTCTTTGAGGAATCTCTACACTGATTTCAGCAGTAGTTGCACCAGTCTGTACTCCCAGAGACAGTGCAGAAGGTTCCCTTTCCCCATAACCCCATCAACATTGGTCACTGGTTGATGTATTGCTAAGAGCTGGAGTGAGACAGAACCTCAGCATTGTTTCAATTTGCATCTCTCAAATAACTAGTATATGTTGAATTTTTAAAAATATATTTATTTGCCACTTGCACTTTTTCATGTGAGAAGTGTGCATTTGTTTCAGATACCCAATTTTGGGTTGGGTCTTTCACTGTGAGGATCTGCTTTTTTT